ATATCATGGTGATATAATTCAGATATCCAAGAAATCTATTAAACCAAAGACCATAACCACCCTTTAGAAAAAAAAAAAAAAAAAAAAAGGAAAGGCAATAAAGAAAAAGAGACCCGGAAAGTTTCTAGTCAGAATTCATAATGGGCTCACCCTGTCAGAGTCGCCACCAGCACTCAACGTTTCAACACCAGAATCCTCACCCTGAAAACCCCACAAAAGAACACTCCTCAACCGCAAAGTTCAAAATACAATCTTGATCAATATTTAACTAAAATAGACTACAAAAAGCCAAAAAAAAAAAAGGGGGATAAAAATAAAAAGAATTATCAAACGAAAAATGAAACCTGAAAGCCAGTGGAGTCAGCAGTGTCCAAGACTTCAGGGGCAGCAGAGAGTGTTGAAACTAAAAATCGAGAGGATTTTCCAAAAAGGGTCGGCAGTTTTGCCGCATTTGAAGGCAAAGAAAGAAGAGAAAGCTTGGGTTTTGCAGAGATTGTGGTGGAAGACGAATTGCATATTGGAAAAAGTGTGGTAGAAAGTGACGAAGATGACATAGCTATTACTTAATTTCTTGAATTCAGCTTCACTTCTTTTCTTAGTTTTCGAATTTTGGTTCAGGCGTTGTCTATGAAGTATGGGAAGCTGGGAGCAATTCGTCCTGCAGAGCGAGCTTTGCAAATTTTGAGGTTTATCCTTAGAATTTTCGAATTTTTATTTATTTTCATTTCTGTTGACACCATGTGTTGTATGGGCCAATGCATATTTAGTCGGTACATTTGTAAGAGTAGAAGTGGGTGGGTCTAGTACTATTGGCAAAATACGAACTGGGCTAAGCCCATTATTTACAGATTGTACCTCGGACCCAAAGTTAGGGCGATTTTGTCCACGTAATATTTCTCTGATTTAGGCCCAAGTTAGCCCAACCCCAACTTGTGGTACTTTTAAGTTTTTACTTCTCTAGAGATGGTTCTTTCTAGTTCAATGTTTGTTTGACAGAGATCAAGCACACCAACAAATTAATCATTTTTTTCTTTGGACAAATGATATATACTCGCTCCGTCCCACTTTGATAGTCCTATTTCTTTTTTCACACAGTTTAAAAAAAAAGTAGTTAACTTTATTGGAAAAATAAATTTAGATTGCTATTTTCCTAAAATACCCTCACATTAAATATGGTACAACTTTATGGGAGCTTGAATTGATGGTAAAAAAAGAATCAACTCTCATTAAATGGGATAAGTTTATAGTAACAACTACTTACATTGAATAACGGTATTTTAGAAAAATTAAAATACAACTACATTTTTCAATTGGAAAGTGGACTACAATTTGGGACAGATGAAAAAGAAATACAGGACTATCAAAGTGAGACGGAGAGAGTACTAAAGTCACGTAATTCTAAAAATGTGGGTTGTGGTTTTGTTGACGAATTTCTATTGCCATGAGATTCTCGTATATGATTTGAACCCACGGCCTCTTGATATTAAGCCAACGCCGCGGCTGATCAGAAAGGAAAGGGCAGCTTCACTACGGCGCAACGCAAGCTGCAATTCATAAGGTTCAATCACATGATGAGCTAAAACAAAAAGTCAGAATCATTCTTCTAGGAATCTTCGTATTGGTTCTTAGTTTATTAGTAAGTTTAAAGGTGATTCAAAGTTATTCTGGTGCAATCGTAGAGATCAATATGATATCAAAGAAGAATGATGTTTACGTTCGATCAGTGTGATCATAGATCAATAAGATCTTTTTCAACAATTTGGATGAATTGTACAAATGATGTTTTAGTATGCCAAAGATGAGGTCTATACAATTACAGAGAAGAGAGAAGTGAAATATTAACTGATAAGAATAATGATCATAACTTTTTAAGCGTAAAATGCAGTTTTGATATTCAAACTTTATATCTATTAGCGATTTTGGTAGTCAAATTTTGGGTAAAAATAAATCTAATATCGAATTTTATAATATTTAAGCATATTTAGCATGTTCAAAAAAAACCCAAAAAAAAAGGGAAAGAAAAAGGCAACCAGATAACTGCCCAAATATATTTGCTTACATCACCATTACAATTTCCAATACACCTTTTTATCTTCTCAATTACCTTTTTATCTCATATACATCACATCACAAAAAGTGCTACAGTAAAAATATCTCAAATAACTTACAATCCAAACATATATAATGAGAAAATTTTGAAAACTACTGTAATATTCAGTAATACTTCAACTAAAACCTATATAGTTTCCTTCTTTCCCACCCAAAAAACATGATTTTGAAATTTCTTACTTTGTTCCCAAAGATGAAACAAAAAATACAGCGAGTATTACCGTAAAAATTTTGGCCCAACAGCACCAAATATTAGGTAATTCTGATGTACATATATGCCCTCTCCCTCTCAAATTAAATTTTAAAATCCGACTTCATCTCCTAGTACCCAATGGCGAACGCACCTGAAATCAAAGACAAGTGGTCCTAGACGTGGTTTAAAACATCAGAGTCGAAGAGCTGTTCCAGTTCCACCTCCACCTCTTACCCAAAGAAACCATAACTGTCCACCACCTCTTGAAGTTCCATAACTACTCTTCAACAAATCTCCTTTTCTCCACTCTACAGCCAAATATCTTGAATTAAAAACTGAACCCAATGGTTTTTAACGTACGTAGGTTCTTTAGGTGGCACAAATGCATAATTGTGCTCAACACATTTAATACTTAATGACCTCAACAGTCCTCATTTCTCTCCATAGACTAAACGCACACCATCTTTGTATTAAACTTCTACTTCTTCACATGACGTATATATTGTATGTAGTACACAGTTTCCTTCCCAGGACGCTCCCACATTTATGGCCTTGATCACAAGTTTTTTCAGGGTCGCAAAGCTCTGCTTTCTTTACTTGTCAAATTAACCACCAAGATATTATTCTTTTTGTTGTGAGGATGATGAATTTGAGTTGCTTTAGTACTTGCGGGATTGTGGTTTTATTAGTTCTTTTGTTTTGGGGTGACGTTCTAAAAGGTCCTCCTAAGGTTTACGCTGTGGAAGAGTTTGAGAAGCACTATATTGAGTGGGATGACTTGACTGTGGCTGATGAGAGTGATCAAGGGTTAGACTTGGATCGAAGAAAACCTAGCAAAGTTATTGTGGTTGATAAAGATGGCGGAGGAGATTCAGTTACAGTTCAGGGTGCTGTTGATCTTGTTCCCGAACACAATCAGTTGAGACATAAAATTTACATTCTTCCAGGAATATACAGGTTCCTCTTAACATGGCGATGCACATTTATTTTGCAGAATTCATGCATGTTTCCGTAATTATGTGTGTTTTTCAGCACGTTTTACTTTTTCTTGATATCTTCCCTCCCCTTGGAAGGTTGAAGCGCAGATTTTCTTTCCAGCAAGAGTCTTTGCATCTTCCCCAAGTATATTTGCATGCAACGACAAGAAAATAGGACGTGGGTTGTAGCTAGTGTTCAAGGAAGTTATTAACATAGTTAGTGGGCTAGCCATTTTCGTTTGTTTTGTTAATTAACTTGTTATATATTTTGTGCATGCATGGACCTCGGTGCCTGGTTAAAATTGCTGGACAGAGAAAAGGTGCGTGTGCCAAAATCCAAACCGTACATTTCTTTCATTGGAGAGGAAGGTCGAGCATCTGAAACCGTTATTACTTGGCACGACAAAGCATCTGACAAAGACACAGAGGGTAATGAAATAGGGACCTTTGGAACGGCTTCCGTTACTGTGGAATCCGATTACTTTGGTGCAAGAGAGGTCACATTCGAGGTACGAATAATTAGTTGTCTCTGCTGCAAAATTTCTCAGTTAAATACGAGGTTGAGAGTTAATTCTGGGACGACTGATTAATTTCTTAGTACCTCTCCTCCATGGATTTATTGTTGCAGAATTCGGTGGTCGCAATTCCTGGAACCAACAATATGCAAGCTGTGGCATTGAGATTAAAAGGTGATAAAGCGTGGCTGTATAGAGTTAGGATTTTAGGGACACAGGATACGCTGCTGGATGAATCTGGGTTACATTTCTATGAAGGGTGTTTCATTCAAGGCTCCGTAGACTTCATATTTGGCAATGCCAAGTCCCTTTATCGGGTATTTTCTTCTAAAAACCCTTCCTCTTCTTCTTCTTCTCCTTTCCGTATTTTAATCGTGTAGCGGGCTATCATGGGTTGGAGTTGTACAGGACTGTATCCTTCACTCTGTAGCAAACGGATCCGGAGCAATAGCAGCAAATCATAGAGACACGCCTAATCAGGATTCTGGGTTCTCTTTTGTCCACTGTCAAATCAAAGGGACTGGCAGAATCCTCCTGGGCAGAGCCTGGGGAAATTACTCCAAAGTAGCCTACTCTTTCTGCGATTTTGATGACATAATCGCTCCTGAAGGGTGGAGTGATTGGAACAGCACAGCCAAGGAAAGGTATAGGAAAGGAAGGTTCTTGCAGTTTCTCTTATTGTTACTGCTCAAAAGTTTAATTGGCTGCTCTGGCGTAGGACCGTGGAATTTGGAGAATTCCGTTGCAGAGGCAAGGGGGCCGGCAGGAGAAATCGGGTGGCGTGGTCTAAATCTTTCAGGTTCGATGAAGCGTTGCCCTTCTTAACCACCCAATTCATCCATGCTTATCAATGGCTGCTACGGCGATGAAGAGAGTTCATGTTTTGCAACCATGAAGAGAGTTCTATTAACCGTGTCTTAATTAGACGGCACAGAGTGCAGCACCAGCAATCAACTGCCTTTGCATTATTGTTATAAACGAGTTCACTAGTTGTGTCTAATATGTAGTGACTAATTTTATCACCTTCTAGGTCAGTTATAGCATCGTTTTGGAAAACATTGCCTATCGTATACCATATGGTTGCAAATGTTTCCACATTTCAGTCCAAGAACGAAGTGCAAATGCAAGTGGGTTAGGCCTTGCTGCATGAAGACATCACAACTGACATGATATATGGTACTATATATATATATATATATATAACCATTTGAATTTGAACGTTACAATGGGATTAAATACAAGTGATAAGCAAGAACACAAACACAATAAAGACTACGAAGAGTAGCCAACAGAGGAAGAGGTGGTCCAAACCCATATCACCAGACTTGTGTTCCCTATCCATCATATACTGGTGTTCCCATACCACCAAAGCTTTTCCCTTGCTACAGGCTCCCGAATCCTCCCCGTCAAAGCAACGCAATTTCCTAGTCCTCTATCTATTTACATCTAACCTAGTACTTTTAACAATCATCACCGCATCCAACAGTTAATACAACTGTTAAAAGACATTCTGACAGCATCTTACTCAGCCGCTTCCGCTCTTTCAGCTTCACATTGCCGCCCACCAGTCCCAATTTCTGCTAACTTGTCGTCATGGCTTCCCTCATTGTCATCATCACTATTCTGTGAATTGGCCATAACAGAACTGTTATCAGCAAGGTGAGATTCGGCATTGTCCCTTACATCACTGTCATCAACTTGTTTACCACAATGTTCCCTATCTTCACAATCAAACACTTGCTGCTGATCGCTATCGGCACACGCACCATTCGGGGTCTCATGGACAACGTCAAGTTTGATGTCAGTTGGAGCCTTAAGGCATGAAACAGGAGACCCATCGGATTTGACCTCCTTGGTAATGGCTGATGAAACAGAATGCTTACTATCTAAACTAATAGCTGCAGATATGATTGAGAGAATATCAGGGTTTCCCTCAACATCCATCCACTGATCTCCCACCCAGTCTCTTGATATTCTTAGCTTCTTTTTGTCTATATTCAAAACCAAGTTTTCACCTGATACAAAACACAAGGTAGGATTAGAAAAGTGGTTACTGGGGTCCGGATAATGTGGCAAGATCATGCAATAAAGTTGAAAAAAAAAAAGTTCAGCTGATGTCTTCAACAAAAATAATAAATAACACTTACTGGGAATATAAACTTGATAACTGCCTTTGCCAGAGTTGTAATTTCCAGTGACTACTCCCTCCCACCAGCCATCACTCCACCAGGCATCAACAGGAGCTCCAACCTTGAAGACATCATCCATTTGATTAGAAGTGACAGCAGGCCTAATAGTTGGTCGGCCTGGGTATCTCATTCCAAATTTATCAGGAGTTGCCAGTCTAAATGCCGGGATCCATTCCTACCAGGTGCAAGAAAACGTCAACTCACATCTTTCAAATTAAATCTAATTTAAAAATTTGCGCCGTCAAGGCACGAAGGAAAAGTTAGCATGAATAATGAGAATACTTTGTGATACCAATTGGAAGAATCTAAAACCTTTATAGAGCTAAAACTTTCCTTGCAAGGAATCAGTTAATTAGTGTTTAGCTTGACATTTCTTTCATCAGGAATATTTATGGCCATAAACACCTAGCCCATTGTACCCTCAAAAGGTTAACGAGGATATCTTTGATATTATTTAGTAACATTTCTGACATGACAACTATTACTCACAAAGTCACAAGGATCTTTGTTATATATTTAAAATTGCATCTTAGCAATAAAAAAATAAATAAATAAAAGAAAACATTAAGTACCTCAAGATATCCACAGCCATCTTCATCCTCAATGTCATCATATTGGATTCTCATCTGTCTTCTTGAGATCTCCAATACAGTGCACCTGAACCAGCAGCCCCTGATGCCACTATCTTGGCACAAAAATTCAATCTTATCATTGACATTAAACATTGGAGTCTGCCAAAATTGACCTTCAACATGTTTTTGCAAGTTCGGCCCCCCATTTAGCAGACCATACTTCAATTTATGAGAGGAAAATTTGTTTGTCACATGTTGAGGTTCTCTACCTCTCTTCGTCCTTTTAACACCCACTTTTACCTCATCCCCAGAGCTAAATTCTTCATCTTCAAAGAAATCACGGCTAAAGCATGAGAAAATTGGTTGATTAAAATATCCACCCAATTTACTTAGCTTGAATGGTTTGACTCGATTGCTCTTGAATTGTCTAAAACAAAAATGTGCTCGAGCAAACACATCATTTGGGAAAACAGCTATGCACTTCTCATAATGTTCACGAGTCAAAACTATTGCAGGACCATCAACACACTCCGCACTGATAACTTGAGCATAAGGTGTAATAAATACTTCTTTAGGATGCGGGTTCCGTAAAGAAACAACACCCCTTACTTCTCGATTATGGTGAAACCATCTCACTTTTACCTTTTTGTGGCCCTTTCTGTCTTCATACATATCTTCCAAATATGCAAGATACCTGTTCTCCTTTTCAGCCATGACATATACAAATGATTGAACCTGAAAATTAGACTGCACATCAGTCTAGGCAAAATATTGAAATCCAAATGACGCATCAGAACAACATAGAAAGAAATATATATTAACAACTCAAGGAAAACATAAGGAGCATGCAGTTGATTTCCCCAGGTATTGGATGTCCCAAGCCTTCAGACTCATCATACTCAGCGGTTACATTAAATAATTAAAATCTCAAAGGGGAAAAGGAAGTCCACATCTTATGCAAATGCTACTGAGAAAACCTCATGTCAAGTCTTTAGGACGTCTCAGTACGCTCACCGCTATAGTAACCCCATTTCTGCAAAATGCTGGGAAGTGCTTAAGTTGTTTACCACATGCCCATGCTTCATCAGACCAAACTATATCCGAGGGATTTCCTCTTAAATTCCTTGCAAGACGGCCCTGAAATGAAAGAGCACCTGCATTAAGTTTCACTTCTAGTTCAGACTGCATAAGAAAGAAGAGGAAAACCAGTACCTTAGGTTCTCGAATTTGTGGCTGTCTAATGTTGACGGCAAAAATTGGATCATCTTTTGGTGATCCTGTAAAGAAGAAGGGCAATCTTCAATTGAAGGAACTAAACAATCTATAAATGTCAAAGCCAATATACTCGCACCAAACCATTATGGCTACTGGTCTTGAATAAAGGTAAAAATGTAATATGACAGAATCAGTGAAGGAATATGCAAAATATTATACAAACCTCTACCTTGCACGAGAATTTAATCCACAAAAACATTGCCATGAATTCAATGTTCAATTTCAAAAAACTGAGAAAAAATTGTCTCTAATGTCCAGAAATATCACGAATGAAATTAAAAGCCTTCAGCAAAGGCTTATCCGGGCGGTAAACCCCCATGTCTAAAAATAACCTGCCAACCCCAGGCCCACCAAGAAGAAAAAGAAAAATCAAATAGCCAGGTAAGTATCCATACTTACAAATATAACTTAGTTAATCAAGATTAATTTCTCAATGATGGCTCACGAATCCTCAACAGGGTAAACAAGGTCATATCCTTCCAAAATCAAAACTTCTAAGTATCGAAGCATGCTTATCAAACAAACAAGTGTTAACGCGTACCCATGAACGCTTGCGCAGGGCACCACGATTGTGAAAACTCAAATGCAAATAGAAAAGCGATGAGAAGGAAGGCAAAGTGGAAGACACATGGCTTCAGAGCTATAAAACAGGGAGAAGCCAACAACAATTTCTCTAATTTTTATCAAACCTTCAAAAAGTATCAGAATATGCAGTTTACAAGAGAGTTCCACAATTGAATCAATATCGGACTTGCTAAATCAAAGATATGGGCAATCGCACAACACACAGCTGGAAAACAGCTAGCACTACAAATGACGGCAAAAACATACTTGAGCAATCGCTTTGTCTATGCTGTTTTGAAAGCATAGATGTGAGCCAATTTACGACCTCTCTCCTTGATCTCCATCTGAAGCCAGCATGGACAGAATTCTCAGCCCCATAAGCATTCAAAAACTCCTCAGAAACAACATAGAACATGTGCCTAACACTTCTCTCAGTACCCACAACAGCAAGAATGGATTCCCCTGATGAATCCTTCAAGAAATAGTGAACCACCCGGTTACCCCTCTCTTTTGAAACAAATTGTTCTTTCCACTCTACAAAACACTGATCACTTGCAGCCATAATTCAAATAATACTAAACCTAACCTAGGGAGCTAAACGAACCGTCGAAGTCCTAAAAAATCCCAAATTTGCAAAACTTAAGCTGCCCTACAAAAGAAATCTGTCAAAGGGTGTTGACCAAAGAAAACTAGCCGTCCCCAAAAGCTAAAGCTGCAATCTTTGCAAGAACTGAAGGACAAAAGGTTACAATCTTGCCGATTGAGTGCTCAAACTAAGTTCACTCAAAAGGGCTTTTCCGAAATTCCAGCCGAAAGTCAAAGAAACTCAAAGCAGACAAAAAAGCAGGGTATTTGGGGCAAAACTGAGGACGACCCACAAAAGCCCATGGCTCAAAAGATCTGAACGAACGGCAGAAACCTAAGTAAGATAACAGTTCAAAACGCCACCTAACTTTTCATTTCTCCTACCTAAGTAAAAAAAAAAAAAAATCATCAACAAAATGAAGTAAGCGTCAGGGTTAACAACAATAGGGACAGAGCTAAGAAGAAATTAGCAAATCCAAATGGTTTGGGAGTTGAATAGAGAAAAGAATAGTATGCCCCAGTTGAACGTGGAAAAAAAATAATAATAAAAAAAAAGAACCAGTTTTTGTTCCCTGGCTTTCAGAAGCTGAACATTGAAAAGCTAGCTAGGGAAGAAAGAGAAAAGGAGGAGGAGGAAGAGTTGAGGAGAAACACCGGAGAGAAAATGGGGTTCAATGGGAAAAGAAAGCATAGTGGAAGGGAAGGCAAGGGAAGGGAGAGTTGCAGAGTCGTCAAAGGAAGCTGAAAGTGGAAACTGGAAACCCTTCGAGATTTTTTTTTTTTTTTTTTTTTTTGGAATTGGGCAAGAGGGAGTGGGGCTGGGGTGGGGACTCGTAGCCGGTGGAATGATCAAATGAGGTAACAAGTAAACTATGATCATAATGAATGATGGGTAAATCTATCATGTGATTCGCTTAGATGCTTTGAGCAAACAGTGGGACCTCCTACTTCATCTTGATCGGCTTGATCTTGATCCTACGGTTATTCCGTAAATTCTACTTTGTCACGGACGCTGTAATTCTCATTCATAGTAGGCATGACCGCGATTCCACAATCAACAATTTTGGTTTCAGAATCGTCGGTTCTAATTTTTGAAAGAGGTAGAATCAGAACCGTACCATATAAGATGGTTCTGGTTCTTCAAAGAGATAGAACCAAAACTACATAGTTTTGATTTTGATTTCTTATGGTTCTGGTTCTTGTTTTCGGTTCTGTATGGTTGTATTTAATTTTATTTAATTCCTTATCCTTACCAAATTTAATACGAATATAACAATATATTTAAAATTTTAGATAAAATGTAAAAAAATAAATACAAAATAAAGATCATATTTTAATTTTATTATTATTCTACAAAGTAAGAAATAATAAAAAGATAATATAAATTTTATGAAAAGTATATTACATTGTCAAATTAAAAAATACATTACACTATCAAATGGTTGTCATTTGTTAACTTTCTTGAGTTGGACAATCATCAATGTTGAAGATTCCATTTGAAGAAATATTGCAAAATATATATATTTGCTTGCTTGATTTTGAAGATGAGCTACTACCATCAAAACTTGTCATTTGATAGCAAATAAGTAAAAAAAAAAAAATTGTAAGTAATAATTTAATACTTACAAATTATAATGATAGATATTAGATGAATAGAAAGAATTAAGTAATTAATAAAATATATAGAAAGTCCATAAAATTTAAATTTTCTTAAAACCTATTAAACACAACTAATTTTTTTTTTGAATTATCTCACTACTTATATTAATTATTTTTAACGGTTCTGAAACCGGCAATTTTGGTTCTGATTTTATTTTTTAGAGAACAAAAGCCGGAACCTTTATCCATGGTTCTGGTTCCATGATTTTAATTTCGGTTCTAATCTGGCTTCAAACGGTTCGATTTCAATTCGGTTTCGATTCCAAATGAAACCATGGACATGTCTAATCCGTAGGTCTCTAATTTAAATTCCTCCCTCTGAAATTTCTACTCTCAATTGTCAATGCTCCCTTCGTCTCCCTTTTCTTTTTCTTTTTTTTTTTTTTTGAAGGACGCAACCGTTAAAACCTCATCCATTTTTGGGTCGGGTGTAAATGCTAACCAAAAACGGGGCATTGGCTGTTGTCGCAGAGTATTTCCGGAATGGTTCTTAATTCTTGTACGGTTGAGCGAGCTGGTTTAATGCTCCCCTCGACTCGACAGTTACTTTTTTGGGCAGAAACCTGGAAAAGTCAAGTAAATGCCCTGTTTGAGCACAAGATTTTACCTTTATTAAATTAGGGACTTTTCAAAAAAAGTTCTTGGATTTACATGACGAACAGCATCAACGCTATTATCCTTTTTTCCAAAAAGATAAAAAAAAATAAATTATCAATTTCAATACATGTGCTGTTGAAAGTAACTTCTGTAACACAAAAACAGTCTGACATCCACCGAGAACTCTGCGGTAATTTTGGGTTTCGGTCGGCTAGAAGCAGTATATCATTGGGTCCACAAGGGTCTGAAGGGCCGATCCAAAATGTACTAACCCGCCTAGAAACAGACCAAAGACCTACTCATGGTGGTCCAAAGTTCAACAGATCATTTTGATCTTCGCCTATGTATGGGCCAGGTTTTTTTGGGCCCCGAGGCCCAAGCTTCCAGAAGTGAAACCGAAATAAAAGGTCGCGAAGCTAGTAGCAGTACTAGTTTCTTTATGCACAGCAGCGTTATTCCCTGTGCTTCGGGGAGACGGAGCAGGACGGTCATCGAAGGACCGTCCCTGAACAGTGCACGGTCAGGATTTCATCCAAAAAATTATATGATTTAAATCATTTTTTGTACCTCGTTTTTGACAACGTGTGTGAGATCTACAAAAATTTGTTCTAAAATTACACGTTGTACAAATAAAGTTACACCGTGTGTAAAGTACATAAAATCACTAGGAACGGTTGCACCTCACACTCCCACATGGAACCCTAGTTGCATTGCTTCCACAAACAGATCTAGGAGCAGAATCGCTCGATAAATCCTCTCTACTTGACTCGAAATCGGCATCTGAGCAGGTGGATTATTTCATTATCAAATCCTAGTACATGATAATAAATCATAGACTCCGTGATTGAGGTACCTGTAGTTAGGTCCAAAAACTTAGACTTTGAATGACCATTATTAGACAGAGATGATGATGCTCTACTATTTAATCCACGCCTTCTTTTCCGAGATATCACATTCAAAGTCTGACCATCAAAACTACCAAAATCCCTTGGATTTTTTGAACTGTGCACTATATTCAAGGAATATTGATTGTTGTTTTCTTCTGCATTTTCAGATGCATCATAAGATTCAGCGCCACACCAGATATTATCTCTATATCTCCTCTCTGCAGCCATTGCAGCTGCTGGCGTAGGAGTAAGTGCCGCCATCATAGAACTGTCACCACCTATGCGTTTGGGTCCAGATGGCAGTAAGGGTTGCACTCTCGTTTCTGCAGCAGCCAAAACAGTCTGGCAGAGAAATGAAAGAGGGGGATGAGGTTTGATACCTCCCAACGGCCTTCCTGTCCCACTTATCCGCTTTCTGATAAGGTCCTCGCATTCCTATGCATATAACAATTGAATGACGAGATACGAGAGATTATACAAGGTAAAGGGCATACACGTTAATGCAAAATTTGGATAAAAACAGAAATATATACTCCCTCCGTCCCATTTTGATAGTCTTATTTTCCTTTTTCATCTGTCCCAAATTGTAGTCCACTTTCCCATTAAGAAAGGTAGTAATCTTTCAAATTGTCTAAAATACCCTTATTAAATATCTTGTTATTAAATACTAGCCCACTACACTCTTCGTGATTAGTATAAGGGTATTTTAAGAAATTATTAATCTAAATTTATGTTTCCAATCAAATTAATTACACTTTCTTAATCTGTGTGAAAAAAAATCAAGACTAACAAAACAAAACGGGACGGAGGGAGTATATACAGATAACCACATCTCCATACGCTCAAAAGGCACTTTACCTTTTGCCATGTCGCCTTTAGTTACAAATATCCCACTGAGCCTAGTCATTAGTTGGTACAGCTAATAAATGATGAAAGTAATAGAAAATTCCTTTTGACGTCGCAACTGACAATCTTTCAATCCATATTTTGAATTAATGTCCATCACATGTTGAACATCAGAGGGCAGATTATTAAACCTCTAAATCAAACCAAGGTTTTTTGTTTCTACGTGTGATTTTTCAGTTTTCCATAAAAAAGCAATCTTTTTATTGGAGCAAGTTAAATATACTTCTTTGGTTCAACATCTTATCAAAATAAAAGCAGACACAGGGAAGATTACCCTCCTAAGTTCATCCCAGAGCCTGTAGAAGCCAGCATCGTGAGGGCCATGAACATTGTGGCAGAGCTCGTGAAGCATTGTATCAAGAACTTCATCAAAAGGGAAAAATTCCTCATCACTGTAATAACTCCTAAGCCTCAACTTTACATGCTGGCCTCCTCCTATGTTCAACCCCAGAAGGTTTTGTTGACTGCAAAACCAATCCGCTCATTCAGAAAAGAAAATGCAGATGAAACATCGACCCACCTTATTCAAACCACAAATTAGTCTACGAAGAACTTTAACAAGAAAAAAGAGAAAAGCCAATCCAGTGTGGTTCGTCTGCCGGCGAGTAACCAGTCACATACGGTCATGCCAACAATAAGGGAACAAAGAAGCCCATTTCAAAACTCCAAAAATTCCAACCTTTCCCGGTTTCTGGGTTTTTCAATCTAATGAAAGAGAAATTCTATCCCATACAAAAAATTAATCCTTTCTACTATATTTCAACAGATTAAACAGGCAATAAAGTGGTTACACAAAATTGTAAAAGCCAACCAAAAAAAAAAAAAGAGAGATATAAAAGAATAAAACAATTTACCAGAATTCGGAGAGGAGCTTGACCTTCCAGTTATGTTTTTGCATAATTGGTTGAACTTGCGCTGCGATCTTTTCTAGAAATTTCCTGGCTTCTTCATGTTTAGGCTTTGTCTTCATAACTCTAATTTCCCATACTTTGTTCCCATCCGCCGAATTCATGATCTGATATCTAATGGTAATGGAAACAGATAAACCGGAATTAGAGATACTTTATGCCTGCACTCTATCGATTGATTCCACGAGAACGAACACACGGAGAAAAAATTACAACACTGCACTAATTGGAAAATTTGATGGACGCTCAGAGTCGGAGACTGAGTTGGCGCCGGGGCGGGCATTCAAAATGGTCAAATAGAGGGTGTAGAAGTTGACTCGAGTGGTGGGTCGAACTGCTATATGTTATATGGGTCGAAGCCCTTTTTTTTTTTTTTTTTTCTCTTCAAAGGAGGTCGAAGCCTAATCCAAGCTATATGAATTTTTTAGGGAAATTCTGCCATCCTTGGTACCCATGATTCTAATCTAATAAACTCTTATGCTTATATCTCTTTTTATACATTCAACGGTGAATTATCGTATATTTCTCAAAAATTTTAAGGCCCAAGTCCAAAATATACAATGGAAAAATGTGTTTATATTATTATTATTATTCTTAAGAATTTGTTGAATTTGAAGAGGGTTGAATTAAATAGTAAGAGAAAAAAGATTGCAAATAGAAGATTGTAATTCAAAACCTCCCCTTGACAAAAGATGAAAAAATAAAAATAAAAATAAAAATTTTGTATGATTTGGGGACTGCTTCTAAAATTCCAATTAGACAAGTTAATTCTTGATTCTCGAACACCTTTGGCGGAACAATTGGAGTTTGGACATTCTGCAGCGTGTTAGAGATCGAAGCAAATTTGTCGAGTGAATGGAGTCGATCAACGTTTCAACTATTGACGATCCATTCCATTTGTACTAAAATCCAACTCAACCACAAAAGGAAATCTTGATACCAAATTTACCTCCTGCAAGAAAAGCAAATCAAAATGGCTTAGTTCTGCAGCTGCTCAGACGCAAATTTTATTCTCTCTGCAAATCTCAGGCATGCAGATGATATAGACTACTGCCGGCATGGATACCCCTTGAAAAAAAGAAAAAGAAAAAGAGGGCGCCATTAAATTTTGTTCTATCAGCTATCAAAACCAGTCTAAAATTTGCTTAATCACTCGACAAAAGCCGGACGTGTGATTTTCTTTATAAGAAATTAAACTCTATCTGCAATATACTCTGACGTACCCCCTCCCCCACCCCCCCAACCCCAAAACAAACACACAGCAGACTCAATATGAGCTCAAGTGTCCCAAATCATCACAACAGCGATGACTCCAACACCTAATAAGACGGCCAAAAATTTGTGATAAGGCATGTCTACTTCCTGAGGATTGTAACCCTTGGAGAGCAGATGGTTGATGGACACATATATGAACACCCCACAAGCAAGACCCATGGATATCGCATATGTCCAGTCTGCAACAGCACCTTCGGTTGTAGCATCTATTATAATTCCAATGGCAACACCTATAGGGCTGGAAATTGCAAATGCAAAAGCATAGGCAGCACAAGATAAGAGAGGGCGGTTTGGGATCATCCTGAGGAGAGCTATTCCCATTGCAATCGCTGCAAAGATCTTGTGCAGACATACGGTCCAAAGAGCTTTCCAAGCATCAGCTTTGCTCTCTGCAACTCCAATAGCGATGCCCTCAAACACGGAATGGAAACACAAGGCAACGATCAACAAGATGCTATCCCCAAGAGAAGCAGCAGTTACAACTGGTGCCTTGCTGAAGTGGTGATCTGAAGGGCCATGGACCTGTTAACAACGAGTTGTTCAATTGATCTGAGAAGTAAGATATTTTCTTCAAAAGTTAACTAGACCAGAGAGCTAAAGCACTGGAAGAAAGACCAACCTGAACCTCAGGTTGAGCAGCTCCCCCGTTGCCAGTTCCTTTTCCACTGTGAGCAACCCCTGCAACACCCATACAAACTTGGACTATCAATCACCTTTTAAACGCAAAACATAGCATGAATCCCACTCAATTGGAACTTAAAATATCAAGTTAACATGCTCTGACCTAGCTCTTTTGTTTTTTAACCATCTCTACAGACATAGCTACATCTGTTTTACATGGTAACCGTGCAAGCTTTGCAGCATCAGATAATCCAATCTGTAAACTCAGTTTCATAATTTCTTACAGCAGGCTCTCCATTGGAATCAGAAAAGTTCCTCTTTATGTCAAATAAAACCAAAAGATTCCTCTGAGCGGAGCAGTCTAAACCTCTAAACTCATGCTACCGCTCGAAGGGCCTTACAAGTTACCAAATCAATTGCATCACGACGACAAGATTCTATCTCTATTGTTTTCCTCAACTTCTTGGCAGCCAAAGGCAAGCTATAACACAGACAAATTAATTCCAAAAGCACTAAACTTCAAGAACATATTCAGGATGAAAACTTTTTAGTAGCCATTCTTCCAAGTTGGTATAATTTGATTCACAAATGTCTCGTCTCCACTCAACTTCTGGGCTTCTACCAACTAAACAAGTAATCGTCAAGCTCTGACTCAACATACATAAAACACGTGGCAACCATACACAGCTTACTCAATATCAAACCAAACCAACTTGCCGGAATTTGTCAGAATCTAACTCTGTGCAAATACAAATTGAGCATTTAAAAAAACACTTAGATTTAAATCCAACCTTGATGATGATGAAGATGATCAGCACCACCGGTTGAAGAAGAACCGTCATTACCCTGCTGCTTCCCATATATATAGAAAATGAAGCAATCAGCCAACATGGTCAACAAGTATCCAGCACTCGCCAGCATGAATGCAAAAGGGTATTCTTTATGAGTCAGATCCTCAAAAGTCTCATTAGAATCGCTCAAGAAATGCATCAAGGCAGTTCCCAGGAAAACCCCACCGGCGAACTGCGTCCCCAGCACTATAAACGCCTCATTCCACTTGAAGAAATACGGCGACATCCCCCCAGCAAAAGTCCCAACAAACACTAGAATCAAGCACCATATCTTCACCAGAATCAGTGAACGCGCTCTAAGATTGGGTTTTTCTGAAGATGGGTCGGACCCGGGGTCTGCAGAATCATCATCGCCGTCGTGAACGCCGCCGTGCGCCGTGGCGGAGACGACTAAGAAGAGGAGAATAAGGGCGAGGATTATATGGGGTCTGGCCATGGAAAACTGGGAGCATCTTTTGACGGGGTTAGATTTGGAGAATATATATGGAAAATTTGGTTTTGGTACTAACCGTCTGGAAAAACTATTGTAGTACAGAAATTAGGACAAGATTTATCATCGCTTTGGGTTTATCGTAGAAGACGACAGGAGTACAACGTACAGCGTACGATCACCGAAACACGTTTATGGATTTGATGGTTAAGCTGAGAACTTGGAAAGTAGACAGCTTTCTTTCTATCCACTGCGCCTTTGGATCAGTGGCCACACCTGCTTGAATGATGGGGTAATGTCACGTTTATGTGGCTTGTCTTCAAAAAATTGAGGTTGATGTACCGTGCATTCGTCTGATTCGGTGGTGATTTAGTCCCCTTTAACTTATTTCTGGGCTCTTTAGGTCCGCCTCTTTCTCTTAGTGTAGAATAGATTAGATTTATCGTCTTCAAAAAAAAAAAAAAAAAAGACAGCCTTCTTTCTTTTCTTTGGAGCGTGATTTCCATTAATTCCTCCTGTGGATATTGGAAATCACCCGGAATGTAATCCAATTGCTGTATTTTCTGCTAAAATACTTGAATGATTTATTTGAGATAATTACCTTAATATTTTTTGTGATGTATTGCACGTGAGATAAAAAAATAATTGAAAAGATAAAAAGGTGATTGAAATTTATGAATCAAATTATTTTTTCTCAAATACGCTCAATTCTCATTCAAAGAAAATATTTCTATTTAAAGTACCAGCATATCTCAGAGAATATCAGTTTCCTTTTGTTTCCCTGTATTCTTTATAATTACCCTTTCATACATTGGTTAAAATTCAAAATTTTTTTTTTGTGGTTTGAATTCCAAATGTTGGTACGTAGAAATACAAACAAATTCTTAATATGTAATGGTGCAAAGCATTCCAATTCTCTTTCGAAGCATTTTTTTTTGGTAAAAGCAACAAAAAGGTTACCAATGTTCTTCGCAACAAAAAGGTTGCCACTATTCTATTTCATTCTTCAGTGAAATGAAACGAGGAAGCTATTGCTTTGTAGACAATTAATGCAAGTGTGTAATACTAATTCCTTTAACTTTACTTCGCTAAATTTTGTTTAATTGTGAGCAAATGTGGTGATTACAATGGGAACAAAATGTAAACTCGAGTTGCGCAACGTTTAACAGTTCTCTACGAAGTAAAAGAAAAAACCCAAACCCACACATTTCACTTCATTTTTTTTTGTTTCCTTCACTCAAAGTCGAATTCTCCTGAAAAATTAATTAGTGAAATAGGCCTACAAATAGAAGACAAAAGATGGAAAAAGAAAAAGAAAAGTAAAAAGAAACAAATAAATGGAGTATTACTGATCCAAAGAAAAGCTAGAACATGAAGCTCAACCTGCGTTTAGACCTGAGAAGCAATCTATCTTTTGCCCTTTTGCCTTTGGAACCAGAAATTAGTGTGCGGTAAAACATTACATCAAAGCCCAGCAACCGGCGTGCTATGTAGGCAACCTACCACCCAAGAAGAACAAGTCAGTCATTTTCTTTTGAGAAGACGATCACGATCAGTTTAATGCCGTGATGCCTCCACCGTTCGCTGGCAATGTCCGTTTCAACTTTGGAACAAAGATAACTTTTTATTATTCCCTCCCAAACATTTTGAGTTCCCTTTCTCCTCCTTTACCAAACCATTACGTGGTTAAAAAAAAAAAAAAAATTCCCCCCCCCCTTCTTTATGCATAGAGAACGATCTAGGCGATACAATTGCAGTCAGAAGCCGTCCAAACCACATCTCAGTTATCTACGTTTGCAGATGGAACAGAATATATACCCAAAAAGGATAGGTTAATGCCGTAACCGTTGCTATGATGCATCCTCCAGATCTTTTCTTTTCCTTTGTTGTGTAAATAAGGAAACACTAACATTGCAATAAAGATGCATTCTCCGGATTAATGAAAAAAGACGGGTAAGGCTTCATGAAAGGCCAACAATTTAAATGAATTCGTTACAACCGAACCAATATGTTGATTTTGCATGCGTCAAGGATGCTGAAATCAGTCCATAGCTGCCTAGCTTTGACCATCCTGTCTACATTAAAGAAAATCCGATCACAATGAGCACATCTGCAAACGTGCATTCTTCCCTGCGTTACGACTAATTATGTCTCCACTAACATATGGTTGGTTGGTATTTCCATTTTTTCACTAGATGAAATAATTATTGTTATTCCAATTCTATTTCTTTTTCAATAGCTGAGAAATTGCTCTTACTGCTGTTTGTCTACCGGTTCATGTTGTATATTATATTACTTTGTTCAAAACCACGACAATTACCGGGGCTGAAACATTTTGGGTATGCAAATTCAATTGGCAATTATGTGACTCCATATGCAAGTAATAATGTTAGTAAACCCGTTAAAAAACAGTGGCAGGTTATATAACGTGGGATCTCTTGAAAGTAAAGCCTAGCAGGCCCCGTCACCCGTTCCGCCACATTTAACAGAAAATCAAAATGAAACATTACGAACAACAGTGCCCTATGGAGAGGACCCGCGAAGAATTACCTTCTCCCACCAACAAAGAAGAAGATATTTCCCCTGCAGCTGAAAGTCCGGTGGTGCAATTTCTCTGCTTTTCTTTCAACTCTCCGCTCCTTTTTCTATACTTTCTTGCATTCTATATTCAACTCTTCATACCCCAAACCACGACCACCACCCTTTTTTCTAAACCCCTCAAAATTGACAATAATCATCGGTCAGACGTGTCCCCATGATGCTGCAGCCTTCAAAAAATGCGTACAAGTTTCTACTTGCTACATGGACTAAGATCATAGGGATTATAGACTATCGTCTTAATAATCATCAAGCGAGCTGAAATGAACTACACAACGGACTGACTAGTATCTCAT